TGAACTTGACCAAATTTTGGAGATTTGACATTTTTAGAAAATATTATATTTTATTTGGAGTTGATTGCCTTTGAGTTTGATTGATTTGGAATTTTCTATAATTAACTATGAATTTTAAAAATATGCTTAAAGGCTTAAAAAAATTAAAGTTGGTTAATTAGGAGAGTTTTAGCATTTTCGATCCAAATCAACTCTAAACAGAATGAAATCACCCCCAAAGATCAGGAATGACCCAAGGGGCGTAATTTCAAGTGTCTATTTTTTTTTTTGGAATTTTTAAATATTTTTAATTAATTAACATGATTAATTATTGACTTAACTTAAAATTAAAATTAACACAAAATTAAGGGTTAACTAATTGTGTTTTGATTTTTCATATGTTGTGGGTTTGATTAAGCTCAATTAAAATCCTTATATTGATTTTTTTAGATTTAATAAGAAATTTTAATGAATTATTTAGGGCTCTAGGTAAATTCTAAGGAGGAATTTTGAAGCTCCTAGTTGGTAGACCAAATTGACACAAAATCCAGTGAAATCTGGGCCATGAGATCACCTAATCTCAAGGCACAAACACTTTAAATTTCAATCCAAATGGGGTTCTCTAAGGTGGTTAACCAAGCCACCTAAGGTGATCTCTAAGTCACCTAAGAAAAATCCTAGGGTCGGATTGGGGAAAAATCAGTGGCTTTAAACTTCCTATATTGATCATCATCATCAATCAAAAAATCAACTCCTAATTCTCATTGGAGAGATCATAGCTCCAATTTGAATTTACGGGTCAAATCATGACCCTTGAACCCAAATTGGCATGAAAGTGCCCTTAAAAACCTCAAACAGTGGAGGGGAAATTTGGACATATCAGGGACATGTTCAAATTCACTCTTTGAAAGTCCCAAGCCCTGATGACTTCAAATTAATAAAGAAATACAATAATATACAAAACATTCAAACTGAAATTAAACTCTACATAAATGCAATTAAGGTCTAGGACCATATGGCTTAGATCTCCCTGAGATCTTTCCAACGAGCCTAAGAACACTTAATTCGGCCAAGTGTGTAGGGATATATGATTTTTTTTTTAAGTTTATCATGATTTTCTATGAAATTAATCCCTTAATTACCCAGTCAGCCGACGCTTTACACGTGGCGCTCTTCGATTGGCGGGGCAATCATTAGCCGCTGACTAGATAATAGTCAGATTAATAGCGGACATCGGATGAAAGATTGAACAGAATAGATCAAACGACCTCCAAAACTGCAGTATTTAATCTAAATCGTTGATTGAAATCAATGGCTAAGATTGTGTCTTTAACCGCCCGCACGAATCCAAAGTTGTGAAGCTATTCCAGTGTGATCCGAGCAATCTTGCCGGCGAACCCCGGTGAAATTTCATAGGGAGGACTAGGAAGATGAAAACTGTCAATCCAGCGGTGGAAATCCGTTGGAGTGAAGGTTTTCTTCGCACTTGATCGGACTACTTATCTAGGGAGCTTGGTATTGAAATATTACCGTAGAGAAGGTCTCAACGGATGAGCTTCTCTATCAGGAAGCTTCACAGAATGAAGACGAGTGGATCTCCTTCAAACGCCAGGACTGAAAGATGGCTGGAAGCACGACTTCGAGCGAGGTGCAGAATGCTTTCGATGGAGTTCGCTCAAACGGATAGACGGGAGTAGCTGGGAGACTTGGAAACGAAGGAGGAAAGTTTAGGGAGCTCTAGGGAGTGATTTCGAAAGCTTAGATGCGCGTTCTGGGCTTTGGAATGAGATCCCCTATTCAGCTCAATCCTGCGAGCTTGGACGGTCGAGATCGATTGGGCTAGGCTTCGAATGGACGCTAGGTGGGAGAAGACATCCTCCCAGAGGGATCATGTGCCTGAAGTTGGCGAGCTCGACCTTTGGAAGGCTTTGAGTCATGTTCAAAGGGGGGGGGGGGGGACCACCGGAGTTTAAACTCCATTGGTTCCGCCCACCGCCGGCCAGGGTTTGGGTCATGTTAACCTAAAAAGGGTGATGGGGATGTGATGAGCTCGAGGTTGAGTTCAATTGGACCTGGGGGAGTCCAATTCGATTGAATGGCTCAAGTTGACCCAAACCTACTTGGTTTTGGTTGAATTGGCTCAACCCGGGTTAGGCTAGACCCTGAGTTTGATATGGGAAGTGAGTCTGGGTCTGGTGCACCCAATGCAGGTGGCAATTGGGTTTGAATTAGCCTGAGGTGAAAGATGGTTTAGGTCAATGTGATTTTGGACACTTTGGGCTAGCCCAAAAGTTGACCCAAGTCAACCCAAGACTTGGGCTGGCTGGGGGAGGTGTGTTGGACCTAGGGCCACTTAATGAAGGTGTTGGTTAGGTTCAATTGAGCTTAGGGTTAGAGTTGGCTCAATCCCAAGTTGTTTTGGCCACTTTTAATTAGCCTAACTCTTGAGCCAAGTTGACTCAATGGTTGGGTTATCTAGGAAAGGTGCATTGGGTCAAGGGAAACCCAATGGAACCTTAGGTTGGATCCAATTTGGCTAGGATTGAAAAATGGCTCAAGGGGGACCTCTCTTTGGGCACTTGGGTCAAGCCAAATGGCCAATCCAAGTGAACTCAAGGCTTGGGTCTCTAAGAGGGGTCTCTTGGAGGCCTAAGGGATCACCCCATGGGTCTAAATGAGATTGAAATGGTCTTGATCAAAGATTTTGGTTAACCAAGTTGACTTAGGACCACGAGTTAGGTCCACTAAATTCAATTTGATCATAAAAACTCAATGGGATGGGTCTTAGTTAACAATGGTTAACTTGGTCAACCAGGTTGACCTAGGGGTTATGACTGGGTTTAATAGGTCCCAAATAATATTTGAAGATGATTAAAAAAAAGGTCTCAAAGTTTGGTGAAGTTAAGCCACATTGAATTTTGGTCAAAAGTCCAAAAATCTCTTTAAAGGGCATTTTGGTCATTTTGATCTCAAGTCCATTCTTGGTCAATGTGAATCTAGAAAAATATAGATTAATGTTTGACATGTCAATATCAAAGGTCTGGAAAGGATCAAAGGGTTTGGAGGGAGCTCCAAGGTCAAATTTGACTGAGTGATATGCATAGTGGAATGGGTCGTAAATATTTAAAGATTTTGCAACCTTTTGGAAATCAATTCAGTTTCTAAGGCTAGAAGGGTCAGATTAAGCTCAAACTTGGAGGGCTGACCCCAGAGACATGTCTTATCAATATGGAACTGATAGAGTCTAAATTAGGGGTCAGTTGAATGGATTTTGAAGTGTTTGGAAAAATATTAGGAAAGACTTTCAGGATGTAGGCCCTTAGCCTTGGATTTTGGTCTGGACTGGTCTAAGATTTAAATTGATCATAGGGTATGGGGACTAGAAGAATCCCAAGATCTAAAGCCTAGAAGGAACCTAAGGTCTAAGAAATCCTAGGGTCTAGAATCCAAGATAGATCAGAGTGATCTCATACAAAAGTGAGGTATTTAGACCTCCATAATTCAAGTTTACCTTCAACTTCTCTCTAGTCTTATCAACAAGAAGAAAATATCATCAGCAAAAATCATTCACAAGGGTACAACCTCTTGCAAATGTCTAATGAGAACATACATGACTAAAGAAAAAAAATATGGGCTTAAGGCTAATCCTGGATGTAATCCAACTAGGGGTGTAAGTGAGTCGAGCCGGCTCGCGAGCTGGCTTGAGCTCGACTCGTTAACGAGCTCGCGAGCCGAGCTTATCGAGCCACGAGCTCGAGCTCGAGCTCAAACTCAAGCTCATTTGTTAAACGAGCTCGAATTTGAGCTTGATAAGGCTCAGCTCGCGAGCTGGCTCAAAATTATTAAATTTAAATATTAAAAAAAATAATAATTTCATATTTATATTTTAAATTACCGCTTGGTAGTTTAAACTCCAGCCCGATTATGGCTCAAATTTCAATCGCATGCCTATCTCTCTCTCTTCTCTGACAGTAACATAGTAATAATGATACACCCAAAAAATTGATCTCTTTCTCTTCTCTGACAACAACAGAGCAATAAATGGCAAACTAAAAAAATCTGCACACACTCACTCTCTCTCTCTTCCTCCCTGTGCAGCTGTAAAAGATAGCGAATCAAATATTTCGAAGAAAGAGAATAAATCTCTTGCTCTCTCTCTCTCTTCCTCCCACGAGTATTTTGAGTGCACATGAGTATCAGACCACCGGTGAACCCGATCGCTCCGGAGGCTCGTCGAGTAGCTCGAACTCGTTTATGGTGGAACGAATCGAGCTCGGCTAGATTTTTTGAGCTCGACTCGAGAACTCAAGGTCGGTGTTTGACAATTGAGCTCGACTCGAACACCCTCTGACTCAAGCTCGACTCAAACACCCTCTGACTTGAGCTCGACTAGGCTCGTTTGCTCCCCTAAATCCAACTGAAATAGGAAAATATATGGTCAAACCACCTTGTGTTCGAACACAAGTAACAACCCATATGTACATATCCAATAGTAGTTTAAACTCACTTTATGAAATTAAAAATACATATACTATTGCCTGATCATAATTGCTATAGTTTCTTGTAACTATTTTTAATTAATATATTACTTCTCATTTTGATTTTATACTCGATTGTGACTGTCTTATAATCTACTGTGTTATAATTATTGCAATTGCACTTTGTTGTATTATAATTTATAATTTAACATAATTGAACCATATTCAAACCTTCTATAAACCCTTTTTAAACCTTATACAATATTTAATAGAATTAGAACACAAGTTTTGAAGTTGGGTTTGAATAATATTTGAATATGATCGCATAAATCTCAATCTTAATTGAAGTTTGTTTAATCCTTAATCAAATCTTGTTTGAATTAATTTTAAGGCGGTGAGCTTAAAAACTATAATATATAAAATTAAAATATATTTTAAAAAATAAATAACGAATAGATTCGGAATTATGGAATATAATTTCCCTTTTCAAAAACCAAAAAAAAAAAAAAATCGATGGCCTATGAAATTGAAAAAAATCTCCTTGAAGTCCCGCCCGAAGACCAGGCTGCTGGCTGCCTCTCTGTCCCCTTCATGGCCTACCATACTTCATTTCTATCGAAAGCTTCCTTCTTTTCGTAATGGAAATCCCAAACCATTGCATATCGCAGGTTTGCCCCCTCTTCTCCAGTCAATTAGGAACGCAGCAACAGAAATAAGCACCGCAAACGATTTGGGCTTGAGATGGGCATTCTTTGCGATGACGTGGTCCAGATTCGACCGCCTGAGGCCGCCGGAGAACCGACGGTGATCGCCATTAACTGCCCGGACAAGATCGGGCTGGGATGCGACCTATGCCGCGTGATTCTTTCCTTCGGTCTGAACATCGTTCGCGGAGGTAGAAAGCCGAAAGCCCAATCTTACCGACCGATTTTAAAATTTTCTTTTTGAATGAAAGTTGGGGATTTTGGTCGATTCTGAAATTTGGAGATTTGATTTGTGATAGATGCGAGCACGGATGGGAAGTGGTGCTATGTTGTGTTTTGGGTGGTGGGGAGAGGAGGAAAATTGACGAGGTGGGGATTGTTGAAGAAGAGATTGTTGGGTGTGTGCCCGTCGGTGCTGCAACAGTATCAGTATTGGCCGCAGGAGATGATGGTGATGGATCAGAAGCCACATGTTTTTCTGCTTAAGTTTTGTTGCTTTGATCGGAATGGACTGTTACATGGTGATTTTCTTAAACTTTTCATCCTATAAGAAAAATGGAAAATTTCGTGTTTTTCAGATAATTTTTAGTTTAATGTGTTTTTTTTAATGTAATCTTCTCTTTTGATGGAGGTTTGAAATTTGAGTTTGATTAGGGATTCTATGCATGGTTGTTTTCCTCCTCATTTATCCCATTTTTTTTCATTACTTATGGAAGTTATATTTTTATTGTATGCCTCGTCTGAAATTTTGGTTCCTCCTTTTTAGTTTTTTTTTTCAAGTAAAATTGAACGGTTATATGCGTTGTTATATCCTTCTTATTCTTGTTTATTTTCCACGTTCTTCTTGATAAATTTGAATTTGCTTTGGCGCAATTTTTTAATTTTATATTTAATTGTAGTGTTCCTTTTTAATGTTTTTCTTGGTTAATTTGTAGTATTCTTTTGCAGAACGGTTTTGATTTCTTCCATATAGTGAATTTTCACTCCTTATATTCAGATTCCTTGTATCTAACTTTCTTGAAGTGTCTTGAAAGTTTTCCTGATTATCATTGTGAACTTCTGTTGTCACGTTCTGAATAGGAGTAGAGATCTCTTGCTGGTGAAATTATTCTGTGCGGACACCGGACGTCATCTGGAGGCAAATCAGATCCCGCTTGTGATGTGGCGCGCTCTGATTCGCCTCCGGACGGTCCGATGTCCGCACAGAATAATTTCTCCTATGTAGCTCACATTGCTCATGTTTGGGTGTAATTCATTTTTCTGGTTATAATTTTGACAATGAGGTTTGTTCCATGGTTTAAACTCTTGTTATGCTCCTCTGTTTTTTTAAATCTAAGCATGCAACGGTCTTGTTTAAGATGCAGGTATTTTTTTGAAAGCTAAACGTTTTTATCACTGCTAATCTTGTTTGTTTGCTCTTTGAAAGATATCACAAAAGTTTTGTGTGAGTTGGAGCTAACGATCCTAAAAGTAAAGGTCTCAACCACCCCTGATGGGAGAGTGATGGATCTCTTCTTTATCACTGACACAAGGTTTTGTAAAATTTTATCAATTCATTTTTTGTTAGCTAAAGAACTTTCTCCCTATTACTTGGCTAAAACATGTTTATAACATTTACCCACCTCTGATTTTAGGCCATTAAGGGTTTGTTTGGTTCATTGAAATCTAAAATGTAAATTTTTTTGTGCAAATAAATATTCGCATTTGTCGATTATTTGGTTGGCGACATAATGAGATAAGAATTGCATTAATGACATTTACCTTATTTTGACTATGTAATATGTATAAATGTTGGTCAGATTTACCGACATCTGGAGAGTATTTGATTGTTAAAATCATTAACCAATCACAATGAATTTGATTGATAGTACTATTATCTAGATTGACTAACCCTTTTTGTTAATGGTTCCAAAACTTATAAAGCATGCTATTTTGGTAATATTTGATTAGTCCAATTAAGGTTTCGTTTGAGACGGCTTTCTTACTGCTTCTTAAAGTAGCTTTCTAGTACAAAAATTAATTTTTTTTACTAGAAAGCCGCTTTAAGAAGCTATAAGAAAGCCATCCCAAATGAAGCATAAATATAATCAACCATACACCATCCTTTTCTAGGCTAAGGATGAACCCAACACTAATATTTTATTTTTGACTTAAGACTGTCCTATCCTAACTCCTAAGCTAATGACAAACTTTGCAATCCACGTTATAGCATCTGCTAGAAAAATTTATCAAATGACACAATTCAAGAAGACAATATGTTGAAGAGAAGAAGGAAACTTGAGGATGTCAAGTTAGTTGAAAACTTGAGAAAATTGAAGAAAGATGCATTGTGTATAAAGAAAAAGAGTGTTAGATCACGAAGGAAAAGTCTTGCTAGTTTTTCTAAAAGTAAAAAAGCTGTTTGAGCTCTGCAGATGTCCTTTGAAGAGTGTTAAAGTGTGAGCTCAAGATATTGGTATTTTGTTTGTCATATGGAGATAACTTCTCCATTCTGAGTTTCATAAATGCTCACCTAGAAACCTTCTAAATTGCACCTTTTTTCTAATTAAATATCGCCTTCTTGTCCAATTCAGGGAACTTCTTCACACTAGAAAGAGAAAGGAAGAGGCATGTGACAAGCTGAAATCTATTTTGGGGGATTCCATGACTAGCTGTGAACTCGAACCAATGAGCGGCGAGATAACTGCTTGTTTGCAAGCTTCTCCTTTCCTTCCGCCCGAAATAAGTGAAGCAATGTTCAACCTAGAACTTCCTCAAGTAGAGACAGATGGGTCTCATTACAAATCTTATGTGCCAACTGTCACTGTGGATAACTCGCTCAGTCCAGGGCACAGTCTCATTCAAATCCTTTGTCAGGATCACAAGGGCCTTCTTTATGATATAATGAGAACTCTCAAGGATTATAACATCCAGGTAATTGGTTTAGGCTTTGTTTGGGACGGCTTTGTTCCTGCTTCTTAAACCAACTTTCAAGTACAAAAATTTTAACTTTTGTATTAAAAAGTTGTTTTAAGAAGCAGTATGAAAGCTGTCCCAAACGAAGCCTTAGAGTACTTAATTAGAAACATTCGACTTCCATTATGCATCTTTATTGGTCACTTTGGTTTCTTAATTGTTAATTGTCTGCACTCTTTCAGCTCTCATATGGGCGTTTCTATACAACCCAGAAGGGGGGATGTGAGATTGACTTGTTTGTAGTGCAAATGGATGGGAAGAAAATTCTTGACAACAGTAAGAAGAAAGCATTATGTGATCGTTTGAGAATGGAGATGTACAAACCACTTCGTGTGACAGTGGTGAATCGTGGGCCTGACACAGAGCTTTTTGTAGCAAATCCTGTTGAATTATCTGGCAAAGGTCGTCCTCTAGTTTTCCATGATATCACCCTTGCCCTCAAAATGCTCCATGCTCGGATCTTCCTGGTAAATATGCTATTTTTTCATTAATTTTTTTAATGCAATTATTGCTTAGTTTTTTTATGGAAATGCATATGATAAGGAATGGAAGATGGTTGTGGTGGGGTGGGACGGTGAGGGGAAAAACCTCATTCAAAAGTATAAACTTTTAATCTTTCGGGTTTGGAGGAGGATTCACAAAGTAATTTATCTTACCATTTGCTTTTAAAAAGGCCTACACAATTTGAGACCATTATAGATTGTTTCTACCGTTCAAGCAATATGAGGCTTGTAGCCCATAGTGTACTCCATTAGTTTGACTTTCACTAGTCTTGATGGTTGATTCCTTGGAAGAGAAGTTAGATAAATTTGACATAATAATGAGAATGAAGAATCCGGACAAAAAGGGGGGAGAACAAAGGTTTAGAGAAGGAAATCCTAGTCTTGCTCTAATACATGTAGAAATGAAAAATGTAGAAAAACGTATTTTGAATTTTATCATTTGATTATGTACAAAGTATGAAATTTTATATAGACTTTTACACATGTTTTAAAATGAAAATAAATCAAAGTTATTTATAAAAATGGAAGAAAAAAAACCTTCAAGAGGGATTGATGGCTATAAGAGAAAAATGAAGCTTACTTATTGCAGTTTAGGGATCAATCTAATTGTTAGAATCTTTAATCCATGTGCTCAAAGATCTCTATCAAGATTGGTTGATTTATGGGTCCCATAATTATTCAACAAATATGTTAGGTCGGCCCAAGGGGGACCACCTGAATTGATCCCTAGTGGACCGGTTTTTGTCTACATGTGGTGGGCCCAAGGGGGGTGGAACCATGGAGAGGGGGGCAGCTAAGTATTGGGGCTCACAACTCAATTAAATATTATTTTGGGAGGGAAAATTTTGAATTAGGGGTTGTTTTGGGATTTTGTAATTCTCCTCTCTGCTTCAATTAGTTTCTCTTGTTAGAGTTAAAGTTTCATCTTGAATTTGAATCTGAAATTTGGGGTCCTTGTGTTGATTTTGGGCTCTAGTCTTTGCTAGAGATGAGAGTTGAATCTTCCTCTCGAATTGAAGATTCTTGTGTCTTGTATAGTTTTTCTTCTATTAGTGAATTTCAAGTATTTTTCTCTCAGATTTCCTACAATTTTATAAAAATCTGCTCTATTTTGACTGAATTTCTCTGAAATTCAGCAAACTTCTGCGCTATTGGTACTTTTTCCTATCAAAATACAATAAAGTTTATAAGAGTTGATCATGATGGCCCTATTAACCACAACCATAACTTATTTTCTTACCAAGTTTCCAGTGACCTATAATCAATAATTGTTTTCAATCTAAACAATGGTTTTTGATCTCCAGGCTGAGATTGGCAGGCATGTTGTCACTGACAGAGAGTGGGAAGTGTACAGAATTCTTCTTTGTGATGATGAGTCTTCTGCAGTTTACAACAAGATTGTAGAGGGAGTGACAAAGATGCTTATGGGCTGGGAATGAAACTTGTCAACACTTCTCTTTCAACCTCACTTCCTTTGGTTTTCAAGAAGATTTCTTCACTGTACAAATATGATCTAATTCACTATGTGCTAACCTTATTTTACTTGTGAATAATGACATTTTCATACGAGAGGCAAAGGAGCATTACAGTCTGTGTTGTAAGATGTGCAGAAGATGCGTGGATAATGAGCCTTTGTCATATTGAAAGTATCAATGCTCTATAAGCTTCAAAATGGGTGAATTTTTCTTACTTTTATCTGAAGATAATGTTTTGATAAAAGCTTCTCATTTCATAGAGCTTGTATTTTTATCTCTGGTATCCAATCCTTGGGGCAATATGTTTTAAGTCATTTGGTTCGGGCAAGGCCCTCTGTATCTAGGGGTCTAAATGAGTGAGCTTGAGTTAGGGGGTTTGCGAACTCAACTTGTGAGTTAAACCCCAAGCTCGAACTCGAGCTCGAGCTTGACTCGCGACACATAAATGAGCTTGTTGAGCCGCTTGATTTCAATTTTTCTGCCTTGCATTGGCAATTTCTTGCCCTTGGCCAACGGGCCAGTGCACTGTAGACGTCGAGCGGTCTATTGAGTATTTCGAGTCTACACGTGATGCTACACTACAGACTCCCGAGCGGTCCATTGCTCTTTCCCTTGGATAAAAGGTGTCCACGTGTTTGAGACCAGCGGTCCAAGTACAGCGACACTGTAGACAATGATTTTTTGTTTTCTCTTGTATAAAGCATTTAATACATTGAGATTTGACAGCAGCTTTTCTTGCAAACATATCACAATAAAAAATGTTTTTGGAAACTTACAGCTGCGGTTTAATTTTTCTTACAAACTTACAGCAGCTTTTCTTGCAAACATATCATAAGAAAATATCAATTACTTAATTTAAAATAACTTAAAAAATATTTTGAGCCGGATTGCGAGCTCATGAGCCGAGCCGCATCAAGCTCGAACTCGAGCTCGACTCGTTAGCTCGATAAGCTCAGCTCGTGAGTCTATAAATAAGTCGAGCTCGAGTTGGCTCGGCTCACTTACACCCCTATCTGTATCTGTGGTTGGGGCATTGGCTTCCATTATAAAGATTGGAGTTTGAGCATCCTAACTATTAATTTTTAATAAATTATGATTAAATTCACCCTTTTGTATAGTGGAGGATCACTTTTTTGCTATAACTTGCATTTGCTCTATGCTTTTATCTGTTATTCCGAATTTCCATGGATTGCAAAGGGTTCTGTCTGATTGACTATCAGCACCAGCTGAAAAACCATATTGTAGACCGTTCTCCTGAGAAACCATATAGTAGATCTGTAGTGGGGGTTAGATGAAAAGCAAACAAGTTTTTTTTTAACAAAAATAGGAGTATGTTGATCAAGCTTCCCATGTTAATCAAAATGTTGTCAATCTAATAGTTAGCATTCAAAGCAAGTTGCATGTGTTGCATCTTTAATTTGTGGAGTGGGCGGACCCGTGATCCTTAGTGATGTTAGCAAATGCACTTTATGCTGGCATTGATAGGGTGGGTGTCAAATTTTGACACGACCTGAAACACGACCTAAATTCGACCTGGAAAAATCTAGGTTCGGGTTGACCCGGTTAGCCAATGGATCGGGTTCGGGTTTGAAAATCTGACCCGATTTGAGTTTTGGGTCGGATTCGGGTTGACACGGAAACCCAAAAATGATCCGAAAATGGTTCTGTCCATGCATGTTGCTCGCCCTACCCGCGAAATGACCCGACTCGTCGAGTCATAGTCCCTCAGTTCGTCAGGCGGTCGCAGTCGCCAGTTCACCTCCTTCAAGTATGTTGCAGCTCTTCACGTGAGGCACGCCGTCACTGCCGCTGTTGCCTCAGCTGCTGCTGCTGTCGAGGTCGTCGGCCCGTCGCCTAAGCTTAATTGCCTCCTTCGACGACGTTCCTTCTTGTCGAATTGAAAGTCGGGATAGCTTGCCGCCTTGTCGGAAGTAGAAGGAGCAACGGGAGCTCGCTGCCTCAGCCTCGCTATATCTTCTTCATTTTCGCACGCATCTTCAGTTAAACCCTGTAAATCTGTGTCGGGTAGGGTTGTCCCGAACCTGAAGCGGGTTGGGTTCAGGTCCCAAAAAGTGACCCATTTGCAAAAACGAGTCGGGTTCGGGTTGATCAAAATCATTCAGGGTCAGTTCCAAGTTCGACCCGAATCCGACCTGTGACCCGAAATTGACAACCCTAGGTGTTGATAGGGATGATTTTGTGGGAAGTGTTGCTTCCTCTTTGTCCTATGTTTTCTTAACCAACTCATGTTGTGCTAGAGGGTTCGGGAATGCTTGTGCCTCATGGGCAGGTCTTTGGGTCGAGTAGACCAAGATTCATCCCCATTGTTATACTCCCAAGCGTTGATGTGGCTATTGGGGAGTTCCAGCAACTTTGTTAATCACCTTGGTTGCTGTAAACTAAGTGCATAGTTGAATGACCCTTCTCTCAAGCCTTAGGTTAGAGCTGCTTGGGCGATTGCAGGCTATGGGTCCTTGATCTCTCTAGCATCTCCCTTTAGAAATTGACAATGAAGTTCCCATGGACTTAGGCTTCATTTGGGACGGCTTTCTTCTTGATTCTTAAAGCAGCTTTCTACTAAAATAAATAATTTTTTTGTATTAAAAACCCCGCTTTAAGAAGTAGGAAAAAAGCAGTCCCAAACGAAGCCTTAGTTAGCTCCTGCCCCATCTTCAAGAAAATATTCGAGCTCTTTAGAGGCTTCTTGGCACTTGCAAATTGCATGGAGAACAAACTTTTGAACTAAACAAAGGATTTGATGATGCCTATTGGTGGATGCAAGAACCATTGGAGAACCTGCCTCTTGAATTTGCGAAGAATAGTTGACACTTTAGGGTATCCTTGATGTCCATCAGTGAGGTTGCAGACTCAAAATATCCAATGTGGTTGGCAACATTTGATATTCTCTGGTATGACTAAGGGTGGGGCATAATAAACCTTGTTGGCAGCCTTGCTTCTGCAATCTCCTAGGAGAATACATTTGTAATAGCTGAAATTCCATGTTTAAAATTTTCTCTGCGAGCGCTCCAGTTAGGGTATAAGTGAGTTGAGTTGGCTCAGTGTCTCGTGACTCAACTTGAATTCATTAAAATATATTTAAAATCTAATTTTAAATAATATAATAAAATATATATTAAATAATTTTTAATTGTTTTATGAGTCAAGCTCAAGCATAATAATTTTTGAAAGAGATTAAAATAATAAAAATATCAAAATCCATTCCATTAACCTCGCCACCCTGGCCATCCCCCTCATTTGCTTGCTTTATCGGGGAAGAAAGAAGAATAAAGGGAGAGAGAGGAGAGAGTGGATAAAGAAAATCCGCTTTAGTCATTTCGTCCGTCACTCTAGTTGGATAAATTATTCTGATTGTGATAGGTTATAAACTAAACCTTATTTCTATTTTCAATGATTTTGATTTTTCAGATTTAATCTATCCTAAATTTGATTAGAATATAATCTCTCTCGATTTAGTGATATTCTATTATTTAACTTTTGATATGTTGTAGATATCATTCTCCTGAGTAGTTTGATTGGTCAATATTGAATATCACCTATTAATTTTGGTCACATATCATTTTAATTGAAATGGGTTGATATAATATAAATTATAAAATGATCAAAAAAATCAGTTTGCTATATTTATACATGATATGCTCGTATTTACTAATTAATTTAAGTCAACATGCATCTTGGGCATACTACTAGCATACAAATGAGTGTACTAACAAGCCCGATATAAGAATATAGAATTCACATGAATCAAATGACATACATGATACATATTGCATATATATACATATGAATCACTGATTATGAAATACATGATTTACATGATATATACAAATTATATAATATATTGCATTGGCACATGATACATTGTATTGGATAGATGACATGCGAAATATGCATAACACAGACACTGTAGGACATTCACATGAATGTTATAGATACTCAACTTCCTCGAACTTATATAAAGATATAAACTATTTTGTAACTAAAGTTTATATAAATGTTAGAACCTGTTGATCCTTTATATGGTTACTGGTTACAGATCATCACTCATAAGATACATCTTAACCTTATTTTTATTGGTCATATAATATGATTTTGTTTACATTGACTACTACATGCTTTTACATTTATATGATCATACTTATGTTAATTGAATAATTTAGTGCATACTATTTTTAATGCATTACATTGATTGTAGTGATAGGTTCTAATAACTTATTGAATTGTTAGCTCATTAAGTAAATTTTATATATTTTTAGGAAGGGGTCATGACTTAGTAGAGTGAGATAGATTAGTTCTCATGTTTTATTATGTTTCTTGTATTTTAGTTTATTATTTGTCGCTAGTGTGGTAATAGGTCATATTTATAACATATGTTGGAGCTAATGCCTGGTGCTAGATTACCCTCTTCAGATTATTGTGTATCGGGAGCCTATTGGTGTGTTCACCTTTGGGTCTTCTCTTTGGGTTGAAGTGAGCCTTTCCTCCACCTTTATGAAATCATTGTTGGTTTTAAATTTATGATTCTCCATGTTTATCGACCTTTTGTGATCTGGTTACCTTAGTTCACATGGCATCAATTCATGCTTATTGCACCTAAGATGATATTGAATCCAATTTTGTTAATGGGATAACCCTGACCCTACAGGCGAGTCTAGCTAGATAGAGTAAGGGAAAGGAGAGAGATAAGGGGATTAAGGAGATAATATCTATAACTCATTGATTTGTGTGAATAATGAAAATAACATCTAAGGATCTTAAAACTACCTTTCAACCCCTTATTTATAGGGTTGAAATTGTTATATAAACGACTATACATATAGAAATATTAAATGATATATCGTTTCATTATTAGATATATGTGAATAAGACTTTGAGGCTACACATAAATAAGCATCTTTGATGTGGCTCTAGTTGCTTTTAGGGAGTATCTATGTTAGGTACTTTTAATGAGTGTTTCTTGGGTGAATGCCTATGAGTACTATGGGTCAGTGCCTTGGGCAAGTTCTTTTGAGCTGGGGTTGGTGTGATTGATAGGGTTGTTATTATAGGGCTTGTAGGTTTGCATCTTCTATAGTTGGATGAAAGGTCCTATATGGGATGAGTTGACATAACTGAGTCGAGTTTTTCTTTTGGGTTAGTTCTCATGAGGCAAGTAGCTCCTTGAATTTTGTCAGGCGAGTCCCCTCATAATAGGGTACATATTGGATGTGTGCGCCTCTTACATGAGCTCCTCTAAGGCAAACTTGGTTGATCTTTGTGAGTTTTTTTGCATCACATATTAAAGTGTACATCAATAATTTATGCAGAGTTTAATGTGATGTTGATATATATATATATGCTAGATAAAAAAAGAAAAAAAAAAGAATAATTTTATTGGAATATTAGCTAACAATGAATTAGACAACTTCTAGTCTTTTTGATCATATTTATTTCATTAAAAATATTTTGTATTAATTATACAAATATTAAAACAAAAATTGAGTTGGAAAGGTTTGAATTTTCGAAAATCTTGTGATATAATCAAACAACCACAAGAAAAAATGTAAGCTCCATAATGATAGCTGTTCGTTTATACTACAACATCAACTCTTTATCCCACTATGTGAGGTTGGCAACATTGACATTTTTTTCCATTGTATTATATAGTAAGAGTCAAATTCTAATTTAAATCTAATAAAGATGTCATTTTTAATATTTTCTAACAAAGTGTTTTTAAGTCTACTTCTATCTTTCTTAACATAAGTCAAATCTAATACATCTACTCTCCAAACCAGGGCATCGGAAGGTTGTCGTCTTATATGACTAAACCATCTTAAGGCGACTTTCTCTTATCTTATTTGCCATTGGAGCTACTCCAACCTTTTCACGTATATGCTCGATTCGTGCCTATCTCAAAGTGTAAAGCGTAACTCACCAAAAGTTAAAAAAAAATGTATATATATATATATATATATATATATAATGACATCAGGGATAAATTTTTAGCATTTGTTTATGTTTTCAATTATTTTTCTAGGATCTTCAATGACTGTCTCTCCGTCTAAATACAAAAATATACTAAAATATTGGGGTTTAACTCTTTTCCACTATAAGCAAATTATTTGCAACATTCTTAATATCACTATACTTTATTCTATATAACATTAACTTTCTTATGCACAAATAAAATCTTAAGATCTAAAATCTCAAAATTAATATTAAAATATAAAACTAATAAGTGATGTTGGGTGCTAACAACTGCTCATTTATAATGAATAAAATATTTATAATATCTTGCTGATTATTTGAAATTTATTTTAATTTAAACAAAAAATTAATCTAATAGTTTTAATGTCCAGATTAAATTTCAGATCCCGATCCATACTTTTTTAGGAAATTTACATACATACCACTTTATTTCATATTATTTATATATCTAACACTCAAAATATTAATATTATATGTCTACCACCTGTATACAATTTTAATATAAAATATATCACTCCTACAATTCATTTCTAACATTCATACCATCCTATAAACTTTAATATTTCATTCCATGCACTCAAATTTGTTATATGAATGATAGTTATATGATATTAATATTTTAAGTATTAGATATGTACATATCATGAAATAAAGTGATAGGTATGTAAAACCCCTACTTTTTCACACTTACCCAATCGTATTCAGTCTCCGATTCTTGCAAGAATTCTCCATGAACTGCCTTCAGAATCTTCCCAAGTAAGTGATCTATCTCCTTCTCTCCCTACTTTTGCAAATTCTCACTATGACAATAAACATATCTTTGCCTCAAGATCATTGGCGTCTCCCCTGTCGAGAACGAAGTGGTGTTACTCGAGAAGAACTCCGCCGTCGAGATTGGTAGGGTTGGTTAGTTATTTGGTTGTTTTATGTTCTTTTCCCTCGAGTGACTTGAGAGATTTGGTGTGGATTTGATCGTCCTTTTCCTTTCATTTTGGGTGCAGGAAATGAATCGATCAAATCTTCGGGTTCCATCCCATCTCCGCGTTAATGTCGCCACGAATGTAAGTCACTAAGTTCAGTTTGTTGGAAAGGGTTTTTCAGTTTATATAACTCGCGTCAACTACCACCCTACTTCTCCATCCTTTAATCATTGATCTACTCCGTAATCAATGCAAAATGGCTACGGTTTACAGTATTTGGATCCTTTTTGTTTATTCGTGCTTTCCTTGTTTTTCAATAACGGGCTTTAGTTTAATTTGATTATATGGCTTTGCCGATATACTTGTGTCTTATATTTTAGAAGATGTCGGAAGTTGTGTCACAGTAAAAAGAATGCAATACTTGAGAAATGACAATAGGTCAGTGTTGTGAATCGTCTAGACATATCCACCCAATTCCCATGCTGGGTAGACAAGTTTGCAACCTTCTTCTTCCTTTATCCCAAACATGAAATTTTCTGTGGAGACCAAAAAAGAAAAAGAAAAATCCTCTTGTCCTAGAATTATATTATGAGAACGTAATGAAGGTAAATTCTCGAAAATAACATGTTGGCAATAACTATTTTACTCAGAGACAATCCAAACTTCTAAATTTGACCTTTTGGTAACATCCATTTTCACAAAAGTTCAAAAAATAGAAGGGCGTGATAGAGGGGCCATCACATTTCTTAATTTTTAACAGGATACCAAATATTGAAGCTCATAATATTAACATGTCATTTAATCTGATAAATTATGAGATATAGAAAGCACACCCAAATAGAGGCTATGGCATGCTTCTTTTTCACATCAAGAGAACTTTAGCATAATGACAAAATCTATTTATTTAATAGCTCTTGTATGAAAGCTATTCGGAGTAAATAGCATCATCACCAAATTGAATAAGAATGTGATGGGTTTCGTAGCCCAAAGTTTGGTCCAAGTTATAGAAGCCAAGTTTTGGATGATAAATTGACTTGAATTGCTAGACTGACTCAACAAGAGTGAGCTACTAGCATAAATCGAGTTGGACCACCCTTGGCTTGCTAGCCTAGGATTCTCTCCTACAAATTCAACACGGTGGTTGGTTTTGAGTCAACACTCCATGGGCTGCTGGCTGCGAATTCTCTATGGCTTATGTTTAGTGACTATTATGTGCCATTGGCTAAGGTTTGTGCTAACTTTATGTTGTCAACCATGAGTGGTGCTAACTCAAGTTGCCACCCATAGGCTGATCATCCATATATTGGCATCCATGGGTGGTTGTTGGTTATTAGCTTGACGAGGGACTATTCAATAATTGGTACGAGTGTTAAGCATTCATAGAGAGCATAGAATAACCAAGTAAAATAGAGTAAAGAAAATACATTGCATTGTTGAAAGATATTAGTTTGACTTCAATAAAGGCTTCTCGTTGCCAACACAAAGCTTAAAGACAACAAAATTTGCCCACCTTGTGACATCCACTATAATTGCTCAGTTTTTAGTTCACCTGGATTGCCTGATCCTCCTAAAAAGCCATCCATTAGCTGCTCTATTCACTTGGCCAGAATTGTGTAGAATCACAACTTGAAAATGTAAAGGAACGAAGTCAAATATAACTCAATGGTGGAAATAATCATAACATAATATAATAAGCACTTGGGTTAGCTTATATGAAAGATGCCATCATTCAATAAAACACATCATTCATCAAGACAACCAAGTTCAACTTGCTAGATTTCACTAACCAAGTACTGCTAATTGAAGCCTGACAATCTAATATTGTCCATCGAAAGCTCGCCAATCTATCCCAAAGAATACCCCCACTCAGTCCCTCAGACCACTTACTATTAAATGACCTATCAACAAAGCCATTCCATGAAGGCGTCTTAGTCAAAGTCACTTGGGCTATACAACCATAAGTGTTTCATAAGATCATGCGGACCATCACTGTCCAAGTCAAGTCACCTCTTGACTATCATCCCCATCTCTCAAAAGCTTTTCATTTGATTTGGGTATTAGATCTTAACGGGAAAGTTAACTTGATTTTCCACTTAAAATTTTTTTAAGAAGAAGCTTTCTTATAGTTTGAGCATCATATCATGAAAAGATCAGGAGTTTGTATTTATTGAAATTTAAAAGTTTGACTTTTTTCATGGAAATTGTTGAAAATGGTGATTCTTAGATCATACCGTTGAGATAAAAAAGGTTGTTGCCAGGACCTCATAGGTGTGATTGGATCATCAGGTAGTCATCATAAACAAGGAAGATCAAGGCTTTAGGAGTTGGATCTTTGGATCAAAATCTTGATTATACAACAACAACCACCTCAACCCTTATATCCCACTATATGAGGTTGGCTATATGAATTATTTTTCTCCATTGTGTTCTGTTAAGAGTCAAATTCTCGTTTAAATCTATTAAGAAAAATGTCATTTATGATATTTTTTAACCAAGTCTTTTTAGGTCTACTTCTACCTTTTTTAATATAGGCTAAATCTAATTCATCTACCCTCCTAACCAGGTCATCAGAGGGCTGATGTTTTATATGACCAAACCATCTAAGGCGGCTCTCTCTAATCTAGAAAGATCATCAGCAAAAAGCATACATACTTTAGGTTACATCCTCTTGCAAATGTCTAGAAAGATCATCCATGCTAAACCAAAAAGAGATGGGCTTAAAGATGATCCATGATGTAATCCAACTGAAATATGAAAATACTTGGTCAAACCACCTTGTGTTTGAATACAAGTAATAACTAATGCATACATATCCTTAATGACTTGAATGTAAACATTATTAATCCATTTCTTTTCTATAACTCTCCATAGTACTCTTGGAACTTTATCATATGCTTTCTCTAAATCAATAAATATCATATGTAGATCCTCCTCATTCTCTCTATACTTCTCCATCAAACCTCTTAATAAATGTATAGTTTCCATTATAAATCTTCCCGGCATAAACCCAAATTGATTTTGAGAAACATTAGTATCACGTCGTAACCTATGCTCACTAACTCTGCCCCATAGTTTTAAAGTATGACACATTAACTTAATTCCTCTATAATTTACACACTGTTGTGTATCATCTTTATTCTTAAAAATAGGAATTAGCATACTCCTCCACTCATCTGACATCTTTTTAGTCTTCAAAATCTTGATTATAGTCGGATAAAAATGCATTTTGAATTTCAAAACTTATTTTAGATATGTTTGTATTTGAAGTTAAATTCTGATTAGGATAAATGCTGTTAGAATTTTATCTTTTACCTTAAAGTTATTTTATTTGTTGTTATAGATAGGGTTCTCTCTTTTTTGCAGAGTTTGTTTAGGATTGAATGTGACTTATCTCTTTTGTTATATCGACGACATAGGGTGACGACTCTTAATGATTATTGAAAGCCACATGTAATGATAATTGATTAATTAAATAAGTGATAATTAATATGACTGATGATCAATTAAGCAGCAGTTGGAGTAAAGATGTTAAAAATATCATATTAAAGCTGAAAGTCATTCCTTGCTTTTCTATACTCATGATGATATTCACTTGATAGTACATTAAATTGATTGATAATACTTAAACTGATTGACAAACTTATATCTTATTTTGACATTAATATTGATATAACATAGTATAACATACTGATATGATTTATTAAATGATTTTATAGTTGATAGATCTCTTTTGACTTTACTGATCATATTAATTTTATTATTCACTTTTGAGATTTTTATTGCTACTATTAAGTTATGATTGATATTGACTAACATATATATTGATTCTTTTGCCTTGTATTGAAAGCAGTGATAGAATGTTTGTTACTTTGCTTGGCTTTTTATGCTCATTATGTAGTTTTAAAAGGTTTCAGGTAAGGAGCCTATAGCTTGAGGTTGTGTACTGATGCAAGGATAGTTTTTTTTTGTCAGAGTTTGGTTTATGTATATTTTGTAGTAAGTGTGGCTATTATATATTTTGTTTTGGACTCTGGTTGTAGATTGTAATTATTAACAATAGTAATGTGAATTATGTTTTTCATTTTTTATTGATTTTCTTTAATGTAATTAATTAGCTCTGGATGTCTATATTGATCTGGTTAATAAATAAATGAATATTAGTTATATAAAAAAGAGAGATTAGAGCAGATGTTCTTCCTTTTAGATCTTGGGACGTGACAAGTCAAATCTAATACATATACTTTTCTAATCTGGTCATGGGAAGGCCGCCGTCTTATGTGACCAAACCATCTAAGACGACTCTTTCTAATCTTATCTTCCACTGGAGCTACTCCAACTTTTTCACGTATATGCTCATTTCGTATCTTGTCTCTAAGAGTAAAGCTACTCATCCACTTGAGCATCCTCATCTCTGTAACACTTAACTTAATATTATGCTTCTCTTTTAATGGCCAACATTCGACACCATAAAGTAATGCATGTCTAACTATCATCTTATAGAATTTTCCCTTAAGTTTGAGAGGGACTTTTCTATCACACAACAAGCTCGATGCATTCCTCCACTTCAACCTTCCAATTTGAATTCTACTAATAATAGCTCCATTTATTTCACCATCGCTCTGAACAATAAACCCAATATATCTAAAACGTGTACTCTTATTAATGACTTGATCACGCAAAGTCACAATCCCCCCCCAACTATATCTATTATTACTAAAATTACACTCTATGTATTCAATTTTAGATTTACTCAAACAAATGCCTTTAGACTCTAAGGTTGATCTCCATAATTGAAGTTTACCTTCAATTCCCTCTCTGATCTTATCAGCAAGAAGAGTATCTTCAGCAAAAAGCATATACCAGGGTATAATCTATTGCAAATGTCTAGTGAGAACATCCATGACTAAGCCAAAAAGATATGGGCTTAAGGCTTATCCTTGAGGTAATCCAACTGAAATAGGAAAATACTTGGTCAAACCACCTTGTGTTTGAACACAAGTAATAGCTCCTGCACACATATCCTTACTGACTTGAATATTGCATTATTAACCCCTTTCTTATGTGGTCATCTCCATAGAACTTCTCTTGAAACTTTATCATATGCTTTCACTAAATCAATAAAAATCATATGTAGATCCTCCTTATTCTCTCTATATTTCTCCATGAAACCTCCAATAAATGTATATATTCCATGGTAGACCTACCTGACATGAATCCAAATTGATTTTGAGAAACATTAGTGTCACGCTGCAACAACATATGAAAACTTGGCGTAGATGCACGATAATAATCATGAGGGCGAACCAAGAGTGTAGGGATTTATGCCGCGTTTGAGACAATTAAACTCAGGAGAGAAGCTAGAGAGTTGTTGTAAATGAAGCGTGAGTTGCACGAGTAAAGTAGATGTAGTCTTACACTGAAACCTCCATGAGTAGGACGACTGCTGGTCCAAGCAAGGGACCCATGCGGGAGAGCTCATAACAGACAACTGGACTGAGCAAGGGGGATCTGTGTTGGTGGGGCAAGCATGGGGGCAAGAGAATAATGCAAGGATGAGTAAAACTACTGATGCATCATCTTACGGACAAACAAGTTGGGTAAATAATCATAAATTCTCTCTTAGTAACTTCATCAATTCACTAACCCTGAGCAAATGCACAACCTGAGTTGGGCAAATGAGCTCACACATAACAACACACATCCACCCATATGCATCCCTCCATACCAAAATGGTTTTTATATTTGCTATACATCTTAATGAAAATACATCTCTCACGCATAGTTATTGGGGAGGTTGACACGTGTAGTGACTTGTTAGTCCCCATAGGGAATCAGCCACTAGTAATGGCCTTACCATTTACACTAACAATCAGGGGTTAAACTTTTGTATATCTTGATAACTTGCACATTAAATGTGATCAATGTCTCTTACAATTACAATGTTAAAATTAGTGTCATAACGAGTTCACAAACCCCAAAAACACAAATTGAGCGATCCCTCATGAAATCCTTACTAGTTTGATTGCTAATTTTATCATATGAAAGGACATGCCCTAATGACCTTAATATCCCTTCTAGTAATTCATAATAAACATCCAACAATCATCTTATACAACCACACACAAGCGTACAATGCAAATAACATTTGATTATATGGATCATGCATACATCACGCATACAAATGCAATCCATTGCAAAGATTAATAAGTTAGTTAAAAATTATCAAAGTTGCAAACAAAATGAGCTAAGCCGAGCTTTGGCATGTTCGAGCTCTTTTCCCGAGAACGTGTTAAAGCTCGGCTCATTATAATTTTAGCTTCTTTGGTGCCTATTCGAGCTCGTTTAAAAATCTCTTGTTTGAGCTCAGCTCGTGTTCGGGTTTGAGCTCAACTAATTTTAGGCTTGTCGAGCCTCCTATCGAGCGGCTCATTTAACGAGCCGAGTCAGCTCACTAACAATTAACAAAATAATATTATTTTTTAAATTGAGCTTAGCAGCTCGCTGACCATCCGCCCCGATTGGCTAGCCTGTATGCCAGACGGAAGAAAATTTCTTGACGCCGACTCGACCCATCCTATCCGCCAACTTTCAAACGCATTCCGAGTATGTTTCATTATATAGAGAAAAATCATCTTTGCATTTCACGGTGTGGGACTAAACCAACCTTTTTTTTTGAGCAAGTGGGCGAGATTGGTAGAGAGAGAGTCGGGCGGGAGAGCGGAAACGGACTAAACCATGGAATTATATATATATATATATATATATATTTGTGAAATTAGTAAAAATAAATTATTAAATTAGTAAAATTTAGGAAATGTTTTTTTTTTTTTTGTATTTTTAAAAGATAAAAGTTAAAAAAATAATTAAATTAGTAAAATTAAATTCGTAAATTTTATCGAACTCTAATCAAGCTAATTAGTCGAGCTCTAATCGAGCTTCTTAACGAGCTTGTTCACGAGCTCTAAATGATATTGTTCGTGATTATAAAAGAGTCGAATGCCAAGTTGTTCAAGCTTGTTTATTTAGCTATCAAGTATTTATCAAAAGTGTTCAAGCTCGTTCATTTGACTTATCAAACAAGCATAAACGAGCTCTTATCGAGCCGAGCCACGAGTAATTCGTTGAATGCTCAGATCATTTGCAGCCCTAAAAATTATGCATTTACAATTAAATCATTTGTGCACATGATCAATTCTATCCAATCAATGCAACCAACATATAAGATAGTAATTGCAACCAACATGTAAGATATTCATTGAATATGTTGTGCATCAGGTTTGGAATCCAATGACAGTTGAATTATCAAAAGTTATTTGCATCTAAAAAAAATTTTCACTGAAAAAATTTTGCAAATCTTATGAATGCAAAATAAAAAATTTTAAAAATTGTAAATTATGTATAAAGGACAGATTTTTGGCAAATTAATTTTCATGTTAAAATCCATCTAGTGGCAATCAAAAGAAATCTTAAATTTTAGGGATTTTGCAAATATGCCTATTCTAGTAGGATGCTTCAATAAGTAATTTTTGCCAGTTGGGCCCCATACACCCAATGATCTTGCTTTCTTTCCTTCATCTTCTGCTGCCACCTTATTTGATTTGTGGGAACCGTATTGTCTTCTGTTCAATTCATGCTATTGTAATTATTATTTTACCTACTCTTATATCCTAGATATTATAATTATCCTGAAATTATTATTCCTTGATTTTTATATATTTTCTATTAGAAACTTTGTTAGGATTGTATAAGTATTAAGCAATTGTTATAAGAGAGAGAAAATGATCAAAATGGTCCCTTTGAAGGACCAAAATTGTCCCAACTTTATTAAATGATCATTTTGGCCCCTCAATTCTTTAAAAATGAATCAAAATGATCTCATGGTGGGACTATTGTGATTTCTCCTTAAGCAGTTGAGGGACCAAAATAATCATTTAATATAGTTGGTTACTATTTTGATCTTTCATAAAGAGTCAATGTACCATTTTGATCGTTCTCTCTTAGAAAAAAATACATAACCAATTTTCTCTAATTTTTATCAATTGGGATATTTAGCGCCTAATTATTCATTAATTAAATAAATGTTATAATTATCTTATTAACACACAAAATGAGGATATAAAAAAAGTGGTTAATTTCTCCTTGTTAGCTGGAGGTGCTGATGAATTTCTTGTGTAGGAGGATATCATTGCAGGGATTGTGCTACTGTTTTTTATTGGTACACAATGGGTAACATAAGTGCGCCAGTAATTTTGATATTTTGTTTTTGATATACCGAGTTTGGTAGGCAATCTCTGTTTTTTAGCTTAAGATATCTGTCATGTGGAGAAGATAATTCACAACATAAGCTTGAATTTTAATTCTATTTGAGCTGGCAAGGATGGAGATATCGGAGGGTATTTGAATGTCATTGAAGGAGTTGAGTTAATTCTACAATAGTGGTGTTAACCAGTTGTTAAAGAGGTTGTTCCTCCATTTAGACACTAATATTCATGATGACAGGAGTGAAGTTTGTTAGGGTAGCCAGAAGTCTTAAGGGAGTGGAACATTTTTTTTCCACTTAAATTTTGTGAAAAAGAGTTTCTTATTCATTTTATTGATTGTTAAAATTGTGTCTGAGGTTTTATTTTTACATTATCCTGCAAATTTGTAAGCATAACAAGTTTTGGGCTTTTGTAATATGGATATTAGTTTAGGCTTGTATAGTTCTCCCTGGGACCCTGTGAGAGATTGAACAAATATTTTGTGCTCTTCTGATGATAATAGCTAATAATACCATTTCACAGTCATATTCAGGTTCTGCTCAGAGCAGCGAGAAGGGTGGTGTTGATTTGCAAGAAGAGAAATCTGAAGTATATAGTAGTAACATGACTCAAGCTATGGGTGCAGGTGAATCTGATAATGTTTGCTATTTTTTCTTTGATTTGATTCGAATTATTTTTGTGTTTCGTAGTGCTTTTTTGTGTCGAATATATTAATTCTATTTTATACTGCTGTTAGGCCGCTTATCTTCTAATATATCTTGCTGGCAAAAAATGTGTTTCAGTGCTAACCTATAGGCATGAACTTGGAATGAACTACAACTTTATTCGCCCAGACTTAATTGTTGGTTCTTGCCTACAGGTGCTCCAACTGCGCATTAGTGGTTGAATGCTTCTCTTACCTCCTTTACTTCCCTTGAATCATATGCTGTACTATTGCAGACTCCATCGGATGTGGACAAGCTTATCAAAATTGGAGTTAGAACCATATTTTGCTTGCAGCAGAACTCAGATTTGGAGTATCCTGACTTGTTCTTCATTATCTAAAGCTTATCTATGCATCAGAAATTTTTATAAAATTTACCTTTTAAGCTTCCATAATATTTTCTTAAAGCATAGTACATCCGAGACATTTCTCCATTTTAACCACTCTATAGCATTCCAAAATATATATTCTCTTCTACATTCCTATTCTTTTGTAGAATATATCGAAATGCTTAAGGCAATCACAGCCGTGGTGATGTGACTCTTATTATTAATTTTGCACTCGCCAAAATTGTATAACATATACGTTTATTTTATATTGTAGTACACCATTTTGATATTATTCTCCTCAGCATTCTTCGACTGCAGGATATAGTTACTACTTGATTTGAATGGTTGATTTCCTTACTAAGATCTCCAGATATTTTGGAGTTGATATCCAAGCGATTGAAGATTATGCTGAGAAATGTGAGAATATTGAACATGTTCGTGCAGAAATTAGGTAAAATATTTTGCTTTTTTGATTTTAAAGATTTTGTTATTCTAGTAACTTCTCAAACCATTGCTGTATTTTTTGAACAATGTCTTTATCATACATTTTATAGTTTTTCAAATTATAATTTATAAATTATCTACACAGTTGATTACTTTCACTTATGTATACCGGGAGACTACAATGATGTAGGACATTTTCGTATTTAGGATTTCTTATTGCGAATCTATGTTGAAATACTCAAATTTATGCATAAACATTCAATTGTCCATTAATAAGTAAATTTTTTCTTTTTAAGGAAAAAAAAAGATTAATTCGACACTAGGCCTGTTAATATTTGACTCGACCCGAACCCGACCCGAAAATTTCGGGTTTGGGTCAACCCGAACCCGAACCGGGTCGGGTTCGGGTTAGGGATTTCAACCCGTTTGTAAAACCGGGTCGGGTTGACCCGAAAACCCGAAATCAACTCGGTTTGACCCATTTTTAATTAATTTAGGAGGGTTTTAATGGATTTTTATGAAATAAGTAAATGATATTTCAAAAAATTATTAACATTATTGCCCAAATTAAATTAATCTTGATTTATTTTAAATTAATTGAAGTAAATCTTACCTTAATTTGATTTAGATTTAAATAAATTGAATTAAATAAAAAAAATGTCGTT